AATTTGTATCTTGGGATGAATTGCTGTGTATGTGTGACAATAGCAATGGCCCTAGATTGACAGGTATTGAGTGAAAGATTGTTGCAGCGCATCCAGCTCAATAATTCAATATGTAACAAGTATCAGACCCGCTTGGCAACTTGCAGGCAAGTTCTTGAACTAATTACATAATGCAAACAACATGTACATACCGCCGATAGCAGCTGGTAAGTACATAAGCGAGTGTGGTGGAAACATATGCAGTAAAGGGAACAGAGGCTGCCAGATGGGCAAGAAAGATGCCTCTGATACAACAGGCAAAGGCAGAGGTGACCACTTTGTGGATTTCTGGGTGGAGCTGAAGGAAGATTCAACTAGAGGCTCATCAGGGTAAGCGACATTGGGGCGTTGTCGGACAGGGGTGGCGCGATACAGGGAAGAGGAGGTAGCGGGAGAAGAGAAGGCGCTGTCCAAATGCATCAACTGCATGTTGGTGCAGTTGACACCATCTACCCTCTTCTCCAGAGGGCCGGACACAAAGACATGCTGACCATCCTTGTAAGGCCAGTACAGCCATCTTGCAATATCTGGCACCTCAACACGCCAGACAAAAGCAGCCCAGTCCCCCTTCTTGACCTGTTAACAGGTTAGGCTTGATATGTTTGATGGAAGGATCACATACCATATAAGTAGTGCCACTCACTTTGAAAGAGTAACTGTCTTGTCTGCGCTGCAGAATCTGTCCAAGCACTGAATATACCAGACAATTCCCGGAAGGAGGGTCTTGTACATGGGATCTTCAATAAGGTCAGAAAGTTACGGGTTGTGGCTGTAGAGACATGTACTGGTGGGAAAGAAAGTATTGATAAGTGCCTGTAAGGCAGAGTGCATGAGCTGGGCAAAGAAGGTGTTGCCATCAATGGCGATGTCACCGGAGAAGTGGCAGAGATCATTACGCTTGTGCTGCACATCATGAGCGACCCAGCGCAGGAGAGGATAGTGAGAGGGTTCCCGCCGTGGATAGTGTCAACTATAGACTGGAAGAGCTTGACACCAGGGCAGTCCAAGTCACTTTGCCATTTGAACAGCAGGAAGAGAAGGCAGCTTCATGAGAGGGAGAGTGTCTGACAGTGGCCGGACGTTTGCCCGCCCAGTGAAGAGCATGGCCTTTCTTGCATACATAATTGCAGAGACTGATAGACTGGGGGACATCGCCCTCCTGATGAGACCAAAGGGCTAGAGGAGTGTTGGTGGGGGGTGTTTCTGGAGGACGCCCGCCTTTGCTGACCTTCTTTTGTGGTGTTAGGACTATAGACTGGAAGAGCTTGACAACGGAGCAGTCCAAGTCGTTGATGGCTTGTATGAATGCTACACCTTGACCAAAGGGCTGAAGGAGTGTTGGTGGGGGGTGTTTTTGGAGGACATCCGCCTTTGTTGACCTTCATTTGTGGTGTGTTGTAGGGCTTGGTAGCAAAAAGCGTTTTGATCAGGGCAGATTTTGGCATCTTTGAGGGAAGATCAGGAGCAAGCAAGTGATAGAGCAAGGTGATAGTCACGATGGGAGGAAGTCGAGAGGAAATTGAAAGGAAATTGAAAGCAAGAGGGGAGCAAAAGGCGGGTTGCAACCACAGCAGCATTGAGTGGTTTCATGCACAGTAGGGCTTCCAGCTGAGTAGCGGCTTCCAGGTGCAAGTTCTTGCGATTTGATGAAAGTGAGAGTGTGGGAGCGCAGAAAGAGCAAGGATGAAAGCAAGAAACAGAAAAAGAAGAGGCATGATGTGCGGCGGTGATGAGCGATGAGTGGACCCTTGAATCTTATTTCATACCTTATGCAAGTTCAACATGAGTGCACTATGCATGCATAAGTCAAAAACGGTATGGGGAGGCAATTTAAGGTTTTTTAGAGTCGTTGGGGCGAGAGGTGGAGGGAGGCAAAGCTGGGGCAAGCACAGGAAACAAACCAGAAACAAACAGAAGCAAACACAAAAGTTACTCTGTTCTTTGTTTCCTATATAACGTGTGGTGATGTGGAAGCTGGGGTGCAGTCATGACAGATGCAAAGCCAGAGCGCTTGACAGGCAGCATCTGTAGTAGCCATATATTCTGCCTCCATTGTGGATAGCGCCACAGTAGGTTGGTGTCTGCTTTGCCATGCCACTATCCCTCCATACACCTTGAAGATGTACCCGGTTGTAGACCATCAGATATCCATATCCCCCCCAGTCAACATCCACATATCCCAAAGCTAAGTGCCAACCAGTGTCATGGGTATAAGACAGGCAGAGGTTGGTGGTGCTGTGAATATATTGGAGGAAATGTTTGGCAGTGAGCCACTGCACAGTGCTCCACTTGCTGAGGGAATGGGAGAGGACACTTGCGGCATGGGCAAGGTTGGGGCAAGAATGGTGGAAGCGTAGAGGACGGCCCCAACAGCCTATGGGTATGGGAGGTGGCAAGCCACATCAAATTTGCTTTTGGCTGCAGGGAGGAATTGGAACTTGTGGGGAAGAAAAGTTTTTGCAGCATTGCAGCTAGCCATGTTGTGGAGCTCAAGGAGGTTTTCAAGGTAGTGCTCATGGGACACGCAGAGTTTGTGAGCAGATTGGTTGCAGTAGACATTGAAGCCCAAGAAGTAGCTCACCAGACCAAAGTCTGAGCATGGGAAAGCGGTGTGAAGGTCGTGTTTGAAGGCATCAAGAGCAGGCCAACTGCTGCACAATATTATTTGATAGTCTACATGGACTGAGAAGGCTTTGTTGAAACACTGGGGGGCTTGGAGGAGCCTGTAGAGGGTTTTCTGCAGGTGCAGAACATGGGTGGCGGGAACATGGCTGTGCTAAGGAGGGGGGAGATAGATGGTCTCAGACAGATCGCCATTGAGAAAAGCTGGTTTGGTGTCAACTTGATCACATTTGAGGTCATGGTAATTGATGCAACGGCAGCAAACAGCTCGCTGTAGTCAATGCCCTCCCGTTGACTGTAGCCCTTGGCAATCCAGCGGGCTTTGTAGGCTGCTGGTCTGCCCGTATTCCATCCAGCTTTTGACTGAACACCCAGCAAGCACCAAGGACCCGCATCTTCTTCTCCTTTGGGATGACATCCCAGACCTTATTGTAAGAGCTGTGGTTCCTCTTCACTGACAATGACGACTAGGGCAAACGGCAATGGACACAGCAAAGGGCTAGCTGGACAAAGAACGGCAAGAAGGACAACGAGAACGGCAAAGAACGGCGAGATTTGGACGGGGCGGCGTGGCCTGAAACAAACAGGACCCCAATTAATATATTTGTCACACAGACAGCAGAAAGTGGTGACTGGGCAAGAGTCAGTCCTAACTATTCTCTACTGCCCAGGATTTAGCTATGCACTGAAAGAGGTAACAAGAAGGGAACTCACACACACACACAGATGCCTAAGCTGTAAAGCAATAGGACTCAAGAAGGGGAACGACAATGGGCAAAGAAAGAGAAGCCACTTTGACGTTCCACCAAGTCCTTGTCTGCGTGTGCGGCAAGCTCCGCAAAACTCCAAAATGATGTGGCAATACAGATTACATAAACACCAACAGAAGCGCTTCTAATTTGTCCAAGTTCTTTCTGCTCTTCGTCCCACAGCTTTATCAGGCCGCCTCCTGCATGCATGCATACAGGAGCGCTTCTCATTTGCTGAGTCCAAGCACTCAAACGCCACAGGCTGCCTTCCGCTAATGCTTACTCACATGCAGTCCAACAGTCAAGGCAGAGAGTTGCAGCCAAAAGGGTTGACGGGTCGTATGTTCAGGAAGGGTATGAGGCAAGCCTCTTACACTTTCTCTTTGGCTTGCTTCGCGTATGTATATTAACGGACATTGTCCAGGTTATACATGCAAAGGGGTCTTGATCGCTTCTAGACATTGCCACCAATTGATACAGTGAAGGACCGACGCTTGGTCCTTACACTTTTTTTTGATCTCCTACCATCCCTACCAACCAGAACCCCACCAGAACACCAGAACCCCACCAGAACATGTGAACCCCACCAGAACCCCATCAGCACTACCAGATAACCGGACCCCCACACCATGTCACCATCAGACCAGCCGGCCCTAGGCCAATGTAAGAGTTAGGCGTCTAACTCTTCACTGGGTCGGCGTCGGTGGTCTACTTGTCGTCGAGAGAAGCAAACAAAACCCCTTGTGCATGTAAACTGGACGAGAACAATCAATATATGAACTGAGGAACGCAGAAGATAAGGGAAATGGGAATGGGACAGAGATGAAAGGGCAATGGAGAAAGAGATACAACAAGGACAAGGCTCACCTGGACGAGAACAATCAATATATGAACTGAGGAACGCAGAAGATAAGGGAAATGGGAACTGGCTCAAGTCAGTCCAGGTGACCATCGAGAACAAGAAGAGATACGCACTGGGACAGAGATGAAAGGGCGATGGAGAAAGAGATACAATAAGGACAAGGCTCACCTGGACGAGAACGATCAATATATGAACTGAGGAACGCTGAAGATAAGGGAAATGGGAACTAGCTCAAGTCAGTCCAGGTGACCATTGAGAACGAGAAGAGATACGCACTGGGACAGAGATGAAAGGGCGATGGAGAAAGAGATACAATTCCATGCCCCCAAGTACTCTGTCCCTGCGCAAGGACAGTCGCAAACGAAACACACAATCTCACCGAACAAACCACACAAGATACCTTCGGCCGAAGAGCCAAAAGTGGCAAACAACACGTAACAGAGACAAGCGGGGAAACGGCAATAACACAAGTGGTGTCGTGAGCATCGGCGATAGCCAAGACGCGAGCAGAATTGGTTCCGGAAGATTTGGTTCCGAAACGCGGCTGGAGATGGTTAAGTCGCGAGAGGCGGCGTTCGCCGAAACGCGGCTGAAAATGGTTAAGTCGCGAGAGGCGGCGATCGCCGAACCGCCACTCGAAACGACCAAGTCGTGGAAAGCAGGCCACTGCTTACAGCCAAACAAAAGAAGAGATCGTTGGAGAGAACAAGGAGATCCTCGGAGAGAACATGGATGTGAAAGAAGGCAAGCTAGGAGACAAGACGAAAGATATGGAGCACGGCAAGGGGCGGGACGAGCCCCAGAACTACGAAGTGCCTAGCAGCAGCCTGGGGTTGACCACGTCCCACGATTCCACAGTTGACAGCACCCCCCGTCCTCGTGTCCACCTCCATAACACCCTCCTCCCCGAGACGCCCCCCACCTCCCAGACCAAAGACATAATCTTCATGGTGGCCGAGATGCAGCAACAGTTTCTCGACGCTCTTGCCAGTCAGAAGAACGACAACCCCGACCGGCTCCATCACCCACACAAACTCGTCTGCCCTACCATCACACGCTTCACCAGCGACCCTTTCGTGATCGTACGCCATCTATATGCGCTGGAAGACTACATCGACAACGCAAGCCTCACGATGGGCTCATCGACACTCTTCGACGCCTGGGTCGTGCGCCAGTGCAACCTCTCTATTGCTGGCGTTGGGGACTGGCGGACGTGGTCTCAGGAGAAGGGAAGGTATACCTCAAACTTCTCCGCGTGGAGCCGCCTATGGAAGGCGAAGGTGCTCGACAGGGATTGGGTCGACCAAGTTAGAAACTCGGCGGCTTCGAGGCGAATGGCGGGAGTCACTCCTCTTCAATTTGACGCCTTTGCCTCTTCGCCTCGAGACCATCAAAACATTCTCCGAGATTCGAACGATCCCCTTGATGACAAGGAAGTCAAGAGGCTATTGATGGCGGGGTTGATTTCCCCTTTTGTCACGCATGCTGTCAAGGGCGCGTGGTCTCGACAATTTTCTGACATTTGAAACTATCTCCCTCGACCGATTGATCGACACTATCTCTGAGACGGTCGAAACATGCGCCATCAACCTCGCTGCATACCAAGGCAATCAAGCAAACATGCGCCCACCCCCCTCGGCTGCCCCTCCCCGCCACGTCCCCGTGAACCAAGCCCCCACACACCAGCATCTCCCAGTACCCGTCAAGGCTTTGTCAACTGCCCCAGGGCCCGCCCCCCCTACCGCTGGGGAGGTGCAAGGCTGGCTCAATCGTTCTCTTCGCCTCCCCCCGCCTGGCCAAGATGGCGCGCGAGCTCGCGAGTACTTGAGGCAGCGAGGTTTCTGCTTTGGTTGTCGCCAGCACGGACACATGGTCTCAAACTGCCCTACCTTTACCCCCCAACAAGTCGTGTCGCTGTTCCCTACTCCTGCCCCTGTTTATGCCCCAGAGCCGTCCAACGTGCCCCCTGCCCAAGAGTCAGTCCCACTCCTCCACATCCAAGCTCGTCTCAGCGCTGATGGTCCTTCATACCAGACGCTTGTAGACTCGGGTGCTGCCGTCAACGTTGTTGACAAGGAGTTGGTGGAAGAACTAAGGTTGGAGACGGGGAAGATGTTGCCTATAGCCACGAGAATGGCGGATGAATCTCTTGGGCCCCAGATTGATCAGAAAATTTTTATGGATATACATGTCGGCAGTGTTGTCTACTGAGAGTCGTTCTTTGTGGTTATGCCACTTGGGCCATCCAACCGCATGATCCTTGGTTTCTCCTTCCATCTACAGCATCGACTACTCGCAGGCGCGTCTGGGTTGGAGGTGTTATTGCAGGAGGGTGTGGCGACAAGACGAGGAGACGGAGATGGTGAGGTGGTGCTAGGATCAGGCGCGACGCGAATCAGCGAAGTGTCGTTGGAGTTGGCGTTGGAGTTGGTCACTCAGCAAAAAGAACTCACTACCCAACTGCTCTCCGACTTTGCCGACATCCTACCTCCCCAGTTGACAGATGTGGCCCATTACCCCAAGCCTGCCCCGTTGGTTTCCCAAGTTTGCCATCACATCAATGTCCTCCCTGATACCAAGCCCGTTGCTTGCCCATACTATCGGCTCCCTCTGGCGTTCCGCAATGCTTTCAAGGCTGAGATAGATAAGCACGTGGATGCTGGCCGTCTGCGTACCTCCAGCTCGCCATGGGCTGCCCCGGCGTTTTTGATTCAGAAAGAGAATGGGAAATTTCGGTTTTTGTGCGACTACCGTGGGCTGAATGCAGTCACGGTGAAGGATAGCACGCCTGTGCCGTCGGTGGAGGACATCTTGCAGCGGTTTCGACTACTTGATTGTTATCACAGATCGACTTACTGGTTGGGTCGTCCTGATCCCCACCGTCACCACTCTCACCTCGTCTGCCTTTGCTCAACTATACTATAACAACTGGGTGTCCAAATTTGGACTGCCAACATCCATCATCTCAGATCGCGACAAATTGTTTACAGCGACAGCGTGGAAACGTTTGAGTAAGTTCTTGGGTACCAAGCTGAAGATGTCTACAGCGTATCATCCACAAACCGACGGCATATCAGAACGTTCCAACAAGACAGTTACCCAGGCGTTACGGGCTTGGACAGACGATCAAGGTGTAAGCAGCGTGTGTGCTGCTTCACTGACGGCAGGGAGCGGCGAGGCGAACGGCGAGGGTCTCAGCTATGAGGAGCTGGACTGGAGAATGGCGAGAGAACGGCGAGAGAACGGCGTGGAACGGCGGAGATCGGGTGGGGCGGCGTAACCTGTAAACAGGACCCCAATGCATATACGTGTCACACAGACAGACAAAAAGGCGGTGACTCTGGGCAGAGATCAGTCCTAACTCTAACGACACACACACACAGACGCCTAAGCTTTACAGCAATAGGGCAACGGACAGGGGAACGATGACGGGCAAATACGCACCTGGGCAGAGATCAGTCCTAACTCTAACAACCTGCCCAGGATTTAGCTATGCACTAATAAATAAAGAAGAAGGGAACTCACACACACACACAGACGCCTAAGCTTCACAGCAATAGGGCAACAGACAGGGGAACAACGACGGGCAAGAAAGAGAAGCCACGTCGACGTTCCACCAAGTCCTGCCTGCGCGTGGGGCGAGCTCCGCAAAACTCCAACGCTGACGCGGTATTACACATTACGTAAACACCAACGGAAGCGCTTCTAATTTGTCTAAGTTCTTTCTGCTCTTCGTCCCACAGCTTTATCAGGCCGCCTCCTGGATGCATGCATAGCAGGAGCGCTTCTCATTTGCTGAGTCCAAGCACTCAAACGCCACAGGCTGCCTTCCACTAATGCTTACTCACATGCAGTCCAACAGTCAAGGCAGAGAGTTGCAGCCAAAAGGGTCAACGGGTTGTATGTTCAGGAAGGGTATGAGGCAAGCCTCTTACAGTTCCACCAAGTCCTTGTCTGCACATGCGGCGAACTCCGTGAAACTCTGAAATGACGTGGCAATACACATTACGTAAACAACAACAGAAGCGCTTCTCATTTGTCTAAGTTCTTTCTGCTCTTCATCCCACAGCTTTATCAGGCCGCCTCCTGCATGCATGCATAGCAGGAGCGCTTCTCATTTGCTGGGTCCAAGCACTCAAACGCCACAGGCTGCCCTCCGCTAATGCTTACTCACATGCAGTCCAACAGTCAAAGCAGAGAGTCGCAGCCAAAAGGGTCGACGGGTCGTATGTCAAGGAGGGTATGAGGCAAGCCTCTTACACTCTCATGGAAAGGATATGGAGACGCGGCGGATGTATGTATGGGAATCTCCTCTCGCCTCCGCACCTAACTCGTCCCTGAGAACATAGCAGCAACCCTAATACCGGACTCTGCGTTCCGATGTCCACGTCACCACATCTCTTCCTACTGACCAGTCTGTACCAATCCCTTACAGTCCCCTCAGTCTAAACTGAGCATCCACGCGAAGCTTGACTCAGAGAGATTGGGTTGAGGGTGAAATTGTCTAACCAAGATTGTAGGTGACCGAACAGAGTGGTGTCAAGGTGACAGGGCGGGGAAAGAGACACTCTGAATGGTTGCCGGTGAAGGGCGGTTCTTTGGGCAGAAAGAACAAGGTGGATGATAACAGTGACCAGGCCATGGGGTGTTATGGAGGGCCCCAGACTCGGAACTGGTTTGTATCGTGGGAAGGAATGTGGGTGGTAACAGAAAGGCGTTGGGGATTGACAAGCGAAATGGCGAAGGCTGAACAGGTAGGCATGGGAAGCAGAGGGCTCGAGAGAGTGTAGATGGGTCTTGAGATTTGGTCCTGAAGAAAAAGTGGTATGGGTAAGCAAAGGTAATGTCCGTAAATGGTACTACACCGGGCAGTTCATGAAAAACTCTGAATCTGCTCCGTTCTCTTCAAAGCATGCAAGGGGCAACTGAACTTGGAGGTTGGCCTGTCATATGGCGCCGGCTTGCTCAACTCCTTCAACTCTTCCTTGGACGCTAACACCCAGAACGCTTCTCCTTCTCAGCTGCATGTGGTTGTTGGAGGAAGTTGTTGAATTGGTTCTTCAGTCTCGCCCAGGCGGGGTCTGACTGGAGTGTGGACTCGTCCTCCCATGAGTTATCGGACTCAGGTCGGTTGAGCCACTTGATGAAGTAATGAGTGGAGTTGTTCTGGGTGCGGGTTTTGAGAATGGATTTGATTTGGAGCGGGTTGTTGGGGACAGGGATGAACGGTTGGGGGTTCTGTGATGAGTGAGCATCGGAGTCGTGCCAAGGCGACAAAAGAGAAATGGGAAGAATGTTGTGGATACGGGAAAAAGACGAAGGAAGCTGAAGACGATATGTGTTATGGTTAATTACCTTGGTGATGACCAAGGGGCCCAGGTAACAATTGTCAAGCTTCTTTGAAGGGCAGAAAGAGCGAATGTTTTCGGTGTCCAACTTCACCTGGTCTCCGACAGAGAACTCGTGAGGTCGACGCCGTTGGTTGTAGTAGTGAGCTTGGGCGGCCTGCGCCTGCTCAATCTGCTTGCGTAGGAAGGCACGTAACTTGGTAATTTTGCATACATGATTGATGGCTAGAGGTGTGGTCCCGGGAGGTGGTGGAAGAGGTGGAATGTCATCAGTGGGGGAGGTGCAGGGGTCAATGCCAGTGAGGGTGTGATAGGGAGGGACGCCAGTTGAGCGGTGGTGCGTGGAGTTATAGCACAGCTCGGTGTGGTGGAGCAGGGTGGACCAGTCAGACTGATCGAACGTACAATATACCCAAAGGTACTGCTCAAACCACTGGTTGACAATCCTGGTTTGACCATCCATTTGGGGGTGGTAGGAGGTGGAGAGGTGGTGGGAGATGCCAAGTAGCCTAGCCATGGGTGACGGGCAGCCCAAATTGGCGGAACACATTGAGGAGGAAGAGGTGCGCAAACTCTTCCGATGTGACCGAAGTGGTGGTGGGGATGAATACAGCAGACTTGGTGAGGCGGTCAACAAAGACCAAGATGGTGTTGTAGCCTTGTGAGGGTGGTAGTTCAACCATAAAGTCAGCGGTGATGTGTTGCCAAGGTCAATCAGGGACCAGCAGGGACATGAGATAGCCTTAAGGTTTCTGTTGCGAGTGTTTGGTTAGTTGGCAGGTAGGGAAACCCGCGACATATTCTTTGACAGACTCTCGGATCTTGGGCCATCAGTAACAGTCGGCCAAGTGGGTAAAGGTTTTGTCTCGGCCAGGGTGGGCCGCAGACATGCCGTTGCGGTTCTCATGGAGGAGACGACCACGGAGTACTCTTGGGATATAAATTTGACGTCCTCAATAAAGAAGACCGTCAGGGGAAAGGGAATAAGGTGAAGAAGGGTCAATAGACGCAGTGAGTTGACCAAACTCGGCGCCAGTGGGATAAAGAGCTAGAAGCTCTGAACAAAGAGAATTTTCAAGGTGGGATGAGGTGGTGAGGGAAGTGTTCAAACGAGCACTATCCTGATTGATGAGGGGTCGGTGATTATGGCTATTCAGCTCATAAGACAGGGAAGTTGC